AGAGAGAGAGAGAGAGAGAGAGAGAGAGAGAGAGAGAGAGAGAGAGAGAGACAGACACACACATTAATGGATCGCTTATCTCGGCCGCCAAAAGTCCGGCGAAGGCAATCTGATTATGATCAGCAAGAAAAGCTGCTATTAAAATCTGATTGAAAAGTTAAAGGAAAATCCATGGGGTCTCCATGGGTTGGTAGAATAAATAGTCGGCACCTTGTTCCCACAGAATACCATCTTTGCATACGTGCCATTGAGAGAAATCCGGGAGAACATCAGATGCACCTCGGCTGAGAAACTTGTTGTTACCGCAAAGGAAATCAAAGACAAGAAATCGTCTTGTCTTAACTGTATCCCTAACTGCGCTATTAAGCATTTGAAAGTATTCAACGCATGTTTGGGAGAACAAATGTTCACGGATAAGTGGAAGCAACGAACGGTGGTGTTACTGCCAAAGCCAAATAAACCGCCACATGAGCCATATGCATATCCGTCTATTTGTCGGTTGGATGCGATAGGCAAAATGTATGAAAAGTTAATTCGAATCCGCATGGAAAAATCGCTGGAGGACTCTAACGATGAAAGGCGAGGGCTGTAGATGCAACAAAGATGGTCACGAACACTGCAGCAGACTTAGAAGGGAAATGTTGGATGGAAGGAAACAAAAAGTATTGCTTTCAAATTAGCAAACTTGTACTGTGTCAAAGTTGCCCTACAGGAATGAAGAGTCCCATCAATAAAGCTGTTTTACTGGCAGGAAGCTTAGCTGCGAACCAGAAAAGCGTGCAAAGAACAGCTAATCAGTGAAGGGGTACCTCAGGCATCAGTCGTAGGCCCCACACTAAGGAATGTGATGTGCGACGATATTCTGGGTCTACCTCTTTCAAAGGGAGCTTTCCTGACCTGAGTTTTGCTGACCATATAAGAATCGTGGTAAAAACTTTAGAGAAAATTACCGTTGCAGTGAGTAAAACCACCACCACGATTAAGAAGGGGATGCGTTCAGTGAATTTAAATCTGGCAGGAGAAGAAGCTAGAGAATTTCATAATTAAAGCAGAAAATACAGTCACCATGGGCGCCATAAAATGCCTAGGAACAATGATCGACTGCAGACTATCATATAAACGGCATCTGCAGTACAAGGGCGAGAACGCAGCGAAGGGGGCAAAGTCGCTAGCGCGCTTACTACCAAACTTGTGGGGCCCTATGCAAGACCGCAGAAAACTGATGGCAAAAGTGGTAACTGCGCCGATAGTACGTGGCTCTTCCAAGTGGAAAAAGGCGTTCGATATGCCGTCATATACAAGAAACATCCAAACAGAATACCGGCTCTATGCTCTAAGAGTTTGCGCCGCATATCGTACGATGTCAGAAGATAAGACATTGGTTATCACTGGTATGATACCAACTGACCTGTGGGCTAAAGAAGACGTGTACAGAGGTGAACTTCACAGTTTGCCGGCTTATGCGGCCAAGCAGCCAGCAAGATACCGACTGGTGGAGGATTAGCCAAAACGCTGGAGCAGGATGAGCAAGGGTAGATAGACGCGCCGGCTCATATCGAATCCGATAGGATAGGATCTATCCTTAGTCGTCTTCTCTGAAACATGAGCGGCTTTCTGAAGCTACATCTGTCTGTCGGTGCAACGATTATCGGCTTTGCCGACGATGTAGCATGTGGTTTGAGAATGGTAGACCCCAAGTAGAACCTAGTGAAATATTACATCTGATAACGGGTGGCATTCAAGCCTGAATCAGAAGGATTGGAAGCCACTGAGGATCCAGCATCGGAAGCGCGCTAACTGCAACTAATCCCTGCGAGGTAATATCTAGCAAAGGGGAGTGGTAGCCCAAGTATGTGCGGGGGTAGTTTTAGCACGTAGGCGTATATTTGCACCACCAGTTTGCAAAGCGAAACGCACCCCCATACATACCAACATGTAAACGTACATAAAAAATGCACATCTACAGATCAGTTTCGGCGGATTGGATTATGCGTCGAAGGGTAGTTGAACGTTTGCGCTGTTCCCAAACGTATCGCGATGGATGGAATCACGCCAAGGGGAGATAAATTATTATCTAATGCAGTTTCTGACAGGCCATAGTTGGTTCCTGTTGGTTACCTGTGCAAATTCGGTCACAACAACTCATCAGCATACTTGCACTATGGCGGCTGTCATAGGTTCAAGGTATATGGTCCGCCTAGAGGGCGACGCCAGGATATACGTAGAAGAATGACCGTCAATCCGGAAGCCTGGAGCACCGTGAGCAACTTTGCGACAAAGGCGCTGCAGGAATTAATGTCGGCTGGAAAGAAGATGAAGCGGAAGCCAATAGAGTAATTGAGTAAGTAAGTAGGTCCCACTAAACGAAGAGCACTAACTGCAATTAGCCTCCGAGAATTAATATCTAATGACGCTAGTCGCGTGGCAAAGAGTGGTAGAAGAAGTATGTTTGTTGAAGTTAGTGCTAGCAGCATGCATGCGCCATGAATACCGAATTGTGCATGCTATTGTTACGGGTCGGTAGTATCGTATGAAGATTCCTATCTTCCGCTCGCATAGCAAAAGAAAAACACAACGACGCAACCATCCGCAGATGCACACATGAGACCTGCTAACTATTGATAAAACTTTCATCTGCTACGAAACACTACAAATTCAAAATTTAGTTTCCGAGACAATGGACAATGTTGCGTGCTAGAGTATTGATAACACTGTGCATGTTGAATTTTTGAACACAAAATCAATCAACGCAGTTGCAAACAAAAGAAGCTTTTATTGCAAAAAAAAAAAAAAAAAAAAAATTAAAACTTGAGAATGGGACTAACCGTTCGCTTTGTGCACACGCATTTGTTGTTCAACGTATATAATAATCATAACTTGATTTTCTTTTGTTTTTTTTTTTTTTTTTTTTTTATTCTTGACTTCAATCCAGTTTAAGTTATTTTATCTAAATAAGCCTTAGAGACTTGTAAACCGTTTGCT